CTTTCCCTTCCATGGCCTTCAAAACACTAGAGGAAAAAACATGATTAAAAGTTTTATGACTATCTGGACTACGTCTGTCTCCAGCAACAGTGCATTAGAGAGACTGTTTTGTTTCTCTCAGAGTTCTTATAGTTTATTGCCATTTAATAACTTACTGTTTTTGGAATTCTCTCTGTTTGGTTTTAAGATGCATCAGCCTTTCTTTCTTGTCTGAAAACCTGGAAGAGATTAAATGTTTTTATTGATATTTTGCACAATATGGCACTGTAAGTTGCCTGAAACAATAAAAAGACTGAAGCTTGTGTGAGTCTTTCAACCTCAGCTGTCTTAATCTGTGAAAGTAATGCCAAAATGTATAAAGCTCTTGCAGAATTCTAGAGCATCTGTCTCACAGGAATTGCAACAGAACCTCTAAGCTTAGAAAACATCAGCTTGCATGTTATCACACTTGTAAGCAAATTACTTGCCATTTCTAGAAGATTTATAGCTTAGCAAGATCAATATTTTGTGTATTAAGAAAAACATATGGTACTCTAAAAACCTTTAGTCACTGGAGAAATTAATAGTACTACCTCAGATACCGTAGCGTTAGTCTGAACTGCATTATTTCACAAGCTGCGACGGTATTAGCTGAGTCCACTACAGTAGTGGGAAATGCAGGTTTTCATACACTATGCACTGCATTTTCTCCCTTCTAACGTGGAAATGTCTCACACTTTATTAATTAATGGGTCCAAATAGGACAGTACACTCTCAAGAGTTTTACATAGTATCCAAATCTTTCTTGTATTAGTAACAGCAATAAGTTGCATTGTCTTCTGCTTATTTCTGCTAGGCACCTGTAGCCCTCACAAGTCCATGACCCAAATATCTGCCTGAGTTCAGCTTCACTGGGTGTCTGAGGTATAGGAACTGCAAAGAACTGATCAGAAGGCAATTTTTTTTAGGATTCACCACCCTCTGTTTTCACCCTTTGAATATGCAGCAGCCATGTTCTGCTCCCCTCCATGTTTCACAACGTATTGAGAAATACATTTAAAGAAGATAGCATATGAACAATGCATATTGAGAAATTACGATGAAGCATGAAGTGACAAAGCTAACAGTAAGAGCAAACAGCATGAGAGACAGCCAAGAGATTTAGATGGCATAAAAAAAACAGGAAATGTGCTTTGTCTTCTCCCAGCATATGGCTTTCCAACTTTCCTTTGTGCCTCCCATGTTACAGCACCATCCTGGATCCACACCTCAAAAGTGTGTCTTGGGCTAAGTCCAAGTACGGAAAACCAATTAATTACTTTTCCCTCTGGAACACATAGAATTGACAATTTCATCCTAGCAGAGGCCTAATACTTCATGTAGAACCCATCAAGCCCTTTATTTCAGCGATATCTAAGCTTTATTTATAACGAGTTACACCCTAAGCCTTGACAGGATGGCATCTTGTGCCTCCCTACTCAGCTCTCTGGGTTTGAATTGAGGTAAAACTTTAAAATGCTTCATTTCTTTCCTTGAAGAGCTGAAATCTGAGAGCTTAGAGACCATCTTCGGGTTCACAAAGCGTGCAATCACCCTTCCAGATGACATTAGCATTAAAACAACAACAAAACTACCAGCTGCTGCCTTCGTAGCCAACCAAAAATACCCATTTTCCTTCCAAAACAAACCAAAACCAAATGCAGGTGCTCGGCATAAAAGCCAGAGGCCACGCGTGAGCCGGAGGAATGTGGTGCAACTGGAGCCCGGCTGCCCAAGCCGGCGCATTGGCTCCTCCTGCGCGTCCTCACCCCACCAGTCATCGTGGAAATTACAAAAGCGCACCGTACCAGGCTCCTGTTTACCACGGAGTAACGCGCACCTACTGTACCCCTGACCTTTGGCTGCAACCAAAAATAACTTGCCCCAGAAACACACCGCTCAGCAGTCGCACAGGGAGAGCGTGCTGGGGTAATTTGGCAATTGTTGTTTTCAAAGCTGGATTAATGGGCACGGAGTCTGACTCAACGCAATTACCCAAATCGCGTCCGTCACATCAGCAAAAAGTTGAATGATCTGTCAAGAATCTGGGACTAAATTAAGTTCTTACTGGGGAGGGAAGATAGAAATATTTGTGAAAAGCCTGCAAAAATTACAGCTCACCACGCACTTCAGCAACTATGTCAAACAGCTCCTACAAACTTCTTTAGCAGGTTTCTCCTAAGCAAACATTTCCATTTCTTTATATAGCCCTAATTTTAACTGCATCACATCGTGTAACTAATTTTTCTTTATACAATCTACAGCCTTTCAATTTGGCAAAGAAACAAAACTTTGGATGAACTATTATAGGAACTCCCATAAAATGTAAACTGAGAAGCAGAGAACTCAGCATCTCAAATTATCCATTAAATGTTTCTCTTTCCTCAAGTCTTATCACATTAAGCTGAGATTTTTCTACAGCTACCTGGCTCATTTCCACATGTTCATAAGTAGAGAGAAGCAACCAGAAAGGAGGACTTCCTAATCTATAGGAATTGAGTAATGCTGAACGAGTTGGGGACAGCAATATCTGCATCCATTACCGTACTTATTCACTGTAATAAAACTCCATTGCTGCAAAAAGTCACTATTCCTAATCATAAACCACAGCTTAGAGAAGTCGGACAGGCTTAGACGTCACAATTATATTGTCTTTGGCTTTTGCCATCTGCAGATGTACAAAGCAAAGCAATTTAGTACGCTTGTAAAATACACTCTGTGAATTTATGCACATGACAGGCTGGAGTAAACTCCCAGGAGCAAGAGCAGCCTCCAAGCGGAAACCAGTATCAAGATGCCGGCTTAGCTTTTGAATACACAGCTCATTACTAATGAAAAGAAGAATGTCAGTGATTATTTTACTGGAGGACTTCCGGACTACTCATCCTTAATTGTAGCTGTACTTCAATAATTAATCTTAACAGATCCTCAATCTCTCCTCCTCACAGATACAGGGTGTGATTTTTGCCAGACATATGAACAACTGCAATCTTACCGCAGCTTTTATAAAAATTAGCACACAAAACAGTCCAATGAAAAGAAATCTCAAATAATTCTTGCTGTTAGAACATGAAATCATTTATCTTCTTATAAGGAAAGATCACAAGAAAATTCTAAAAATAAAACACCACTGGATACAAGGGGTAATGCTCGCTTTCCTTACTTTTCACAAGAGAGAGAACAACCCTTTCCCCCAGTCTGTGACACTTTGAAAAGACAAATGGGAGGCCCAAGCGACCCCATACACTTCCTCACTCTGAATTTCTCACACCGTGCTTGTAACTGAGTCGCACAGAAAAGCCCTTGTCACGACCCTGTTGGCCTCCTCCAGCATCGGCCATAATGCTGATCTAAAATTAACCCGGGTACTACTAGAAGGCATAAAATAAACAAATAAATAATGGTGACAGTAAACACAACCTTAAATGCAGCCAGTTAACTGCACCTGTCCCTGCGTGACTTTGCCGTGGTGTGTGTGGTCACAGCTTAAAAAGTCACTCCCTCTCTCTGCTCGCATCACTAGAAATTCATAGATGCCCGCTCGCTGCTTACAAAGAGGAAACAAAGAAAACCGACCTCTGAAATGACAGGCTCTTTCTCTCTCACTCTAATATCAGTCATCCCAAGTATTAATTATAGAATGCAGACACACCACTTCAAGCACAGTTTTAAAGATAAGCAATTCCATTATCTTCAGAAGAAGAAATCCAAGCTCTATGGGGCTTTGTCCCTACACTGAGCGCTCCTGCTGCAATCAAACATGCTTATGTTACTCAGGTCATGTTATTCACATGTTTATGTGTTCCTTTTATTCATTAATATGAAGTTGCTCTTTTCAATGAATTGTACTACTGCTTGGGAAAGTTTTGAGCAGCAGGAGAAACAAAGCCTGAGGAAATTGGGCATACAGGTAGATCCCCCAGAATGCAGACTCTAGGAGAACAGAACAGCAGTGATCCCCACCAGTGGAACCATGATGTCCAGGCAGAAGGGGGAAAAAAAGACCAAAAAAAAAAAAAGGAGCCTAATTCCTGCAGTTAAGAAACACAGTGTAAATATAGAGAAGGTTTTCTAGTCACAGATGAATGGGACAGTTAAAGCATCTTAGGAGGAAGCAGTGAAAACGGCAGACAGAAAAGCTGATCTTGTCGCACGTGAGAAGATACGAGGAAGATAAAGAGGGTTTTTTTTCCCCAACTAGCTGTTGCTTCCAGTACTTTGGCTAAGGCTGCTTCTTTATGGTTTTATTTTTCTGATGGGTAGAGAAACTGCTTAAGCCTTGGTTAACACAGAACAACAGTGGTTCCACTATAACGAAGGCTACAACTGAATTTCTATAATTAGGCCAGACGTTTGGCCAAAATCTTAAGGCTACAAAAGGGGCAGGAGAAAATAGTCGGTTTACGTTCTGAAAGCCAAACCCAATTTTTTCATGGAAGCTGCAGATAACCCCGAGCAGTCTCACGCAAATTCAAGTTTTCCCTCTATTTTAGAAAGACTAAACACCGTTTGTGGTTCCATGACACAGCCTTTCACGTAAAAAACCAAGAAAACCCATCCAGTGGCAGACTAAGGTCTCAATTTTGCAAACTGATTCACGCCGGCTGACACCCTGTGCCCACTCCCACCGATGTTAGCAGAAGAAAGGCACTGCCGTCCCCTTGGCTGTTCTTGTATTTGGCAGAAGGACGCGAAGAGGCTTTGGTGTGAGGACGGTAGCGCACCACACGCTGCTCACCACCTTCCCAAAATAGTTCAAGAAATCACTCTCAACAGCTGCTAATGAAGCTACAAATGAAGGACCAAGAACACGACGTCAGCCAAAAATCAGAGCTATTCCGGAGACGGTGCTGGGCAGACTTTTTAAGAATCTGGGATGGACGTGCTGTGAACGACAGCCACGGAGGGGTGATCTGCATCTGAGTCATATAATGAGAATATTTGCTTACTGATGTAACACTCATCCAGCTGCCCTCCTGTAGAGCCAACACTTTGCAAAAAAGGAGCAGGAAGGTGCATGATTAACTCAAGCGGAGTATTTTTTGTAATTATAAAAGGGGGCCCGTGATTAGGACTATATAAATAGACAGGAAAATAAAAAAGAGGGGCCGCTTTCTCGCACACCTTCCTAATTTTGCTTAATGATTTACACGGCTACCGTTCTAACGCATGCTGCTGCAAATAAGATACGCATTCCAAA